AACAATCATTTAATGTTAATATTTTAACAATCAAATTATCTAATTGAAATTTAAGAAATATTTGATTTCATTGAATGATAATAAGAAAAGAAATAATAATCTTTTTCATCATTAATTCATACAAATAAATTAAAATAAATTATATAAATTTATTATATTCTAAAAATAAAAGAATAACAAAAAACAAAGAAAAGTGTAAAATAACTTAAATAAACAAATACAATGTGGTTTTGTTTATTACTTCTATTTATTTCATTTTGTAATGGTGAATATTGTAAAAAAGTGGAAGGGAATGATACTGTAATCTATGTAAATGCTAGTTGTAGTGATTCTACTTTAAATTCAAAAGAATTAACAGGAGATTATACTAAATATTCATCAGTTATTATTTCAATGAATAATTATATTGCCAATGTGTGGTTTTATTTTGGTTCAAGAGATAATCCATTTAAAGCAAATAAAGTTATTGTACTATTAGAAGAAGGAATTAGCAATAATTATTATCTATACTTTAGAAGTATTGAAACAAATTTTGAACTTGAATTAATCAAAAATTCTTATTCATTTGAAAAAGTTCAATTTAATTTCTATAATGGAAATAGTCCAACAAGAATAACTGGAGATGTTGGTGAGTTGTGGGTTGGTGGAAATGATTATTATGATTATAATTACCATTTACCTATTCAACGTACTTATATTAATTCAAATCCTGCTACTTTAATTGCTGATTTTAGTTATGTTAATTATGGTATATGGTATTTAATATCATCATATGAAGGATCAATCAATAAAATAACACCAAATTCATTATCAAATAGTAAATATTTTAATCAAACATGTGGTGGAATGGTTCGATATTTTAGTTATAAAAGTATCGAAATTCATGATATAACAACAGAATGTAATCATCAATTTAAAAAAAATGAAGAAGATGATTTCAATTTATTTATTGTTACTACTACTGTATCTTTATCTGATTATAATTATCAAATATCATTATCAACAAATAATTATATTATTAGAAATAACTATAACCCATCAAATATTCATACAATATATACATATCCTAATCAATGGTTAAAATATGAATCAACAAATCAAACAAAATTTAATATTTATAGAAAAAAAGAACCATATCAAAAAATTGAATTCAGTTTAAGAATTGAATCATCAAATGAAGGAACAACATCAATTAAAGAAGTAGAAAATAATGATAAATCAATTTCAACACTAATTATTTCTTCTTCAAAACCATTAACTAGTTTAACTAATGTAAAATTTTCAGAAACAACATTAACAACAAAGAAAAGTCAAATAATGA